ATCACAATGGAATATTACTCATCCATGACAAAGAGTGAAATATTGCCAATTACAACAACATGGATTATGGACCTAGAGTGTATTATGCTAAGTGAAATATGTCAGAGAAAGAGAAAGACAAACACTGTATGATTTCACTTGTATGTGGAAATGAATAATAAAAAACAAATGAATAATCATAATAAAATAGAAACAAAGTTAAAGATACAGAAAACAAACAAGGGGGTGCAAGAGGGGAAGAGGTGTGGGAAAAAAGAAATAGATGAGAGAAATTAAGAGGTACAAACTTCCTGTTGCAAAATAAATGAGTCCCAGGCATGAAATGTACAGTGCGGGGAATATAGTCAATAACCACGTAATATCTTTATACGGTGACATATCATAACTGGACTTACCATGGTCATCAGTCTCAAATGTATAGAAATATTGAATCACTATGTTGTGTAACAGGAACTAACATGGTATTGTAGGACAATTATACATCAAAACAAACAAACTCATAGAAAAAGACATCAGATTTGTGGTTACCAGAGGTTGAGGGTGGAGGAAGGTGGAATTGGATCAAGGCAGTCAAAAGATATAAACTAGTTATAAGATAAATAAGTAGTTATAAGAGAAATAAGAGCTAGTTATAAGATAAATAAGATAGAAGATAAATTACTAGGAACATAATGTACAACATGATAAATATAATTAACACTTCTACATGTTATATATGAGAGTTACGAGAGTAAATCCTGAGTCTCATCATAAGAAAAAAATTGTTTCTATTTCTTTAATTTTGTATTCATATGAGATAATGGAATAACACTAAACTTACTGTGATAATCACTTCATGATGTATGTAAATCAAATAATTATACTGCATACTTTAAATTTCTGCAGTGCTGTATGTCACTTATATCCATAAAAGTAGAAATAAAGCAAAATAAACAATCTAACTTTATACTTCAAGGAACTAGAAAAAGAAATACACTCTAAGCTCAAAGTTAGTAGAAGGAAGGAAATAAAGTTTAGAGCAGAAATAAGTGAAAGAGACACCAGAAAAAATAATAGAAAAGATTAACAAAACTAAAAGTTGGTTTATTGAAAAGATAAACAAAACTGACAAAACTTTAGCTAAGCCAACTAAGAAAAACAGAGAGAAGACTCAAAATCATGAATGAGAGAGGAGACATTACAATTAATACCACAGAAAATACAAAAGATCATAAGAAACAGTTATGAACAATTGCACACCAATTATATGCCATATAGTAAATATGGAAAAATTCCTAGAAACATATAAATTACCAAATTGAATTATGAAAAAACAAAAAATCTGAACAGTCTAAATGATGCATAAGGAGACTGAATCAGTAATCAAAAACTTTCCAACAAAGAAAAGCCCAGGACCGGTGACTTCACTGTTGAATTCTACCAAACACTTAAATAAGAATTAATGTCAATACTTTTCAAACTATTCCAGAAAATTTAAGAGGCAGGAGCCTTCCCAAAATCATTTTAGGAGGCCAACATTACCCTGATACCAAAGCCAGATAATACTACAAGAAAAGAAAACTACAGACCAATATCCCTGGTGAATACAAATATAAAATTCTCAACAAAATATTAGCAAACTGAATTCAACAGCACACTAAAAGAATTGTACACCTTGATTAAGTGGGATTTACCCCTGAAATGCAAGGATGGTTCAACATATGCAAATCAATAAATGTGATACACTTCATTAACAGAATGAAAGATAAAAATCATATGATCATCTCAATAGATGCAGGAATAGCATTTGACAAAATATAACAAACATCCTTTCACAATAAAAATAATCAACAAATTGGGTATGAAAGGAACATACCTCAGTAAAAGCCATGTATGACAAACCCATAGCTAACACCATACTCAACTGTGAAAAGTTGAAAGCTTTTCCTCTAAGATCAAGAACAAGACAAGGGTGCTCACTCTCATCACTTCTATTCAATACAGTACTGGAAATCTAACCAGAACAATCAGGCAAGAAAAAGAAAGAAAACGCATCTAAATCAAAAAAGAAAAAGTAAAATTGTCTTTGCAGTTGATATGATCTTACATAGAGAAAATTCTAAAGACTCCATCGAAAAACAAACAAACCAACAAAAACGTTAGAACTAATCAATGAATTCAGTAAAACTGCAGGATACAAAATCAACATTTTGTTGCAATTCTATACACTAATAATGAAACATCTGAGAAAGAAAGAAAACAATCTCATTCACAATAGCACCGAAAACAATAAAATGTTTAGGAATAAATTAGCCAAAGAGGTGAAAGATCTATACAGTGAAAACTATAAGACTTTGATGAAATAAACTGACAAAGACAGAAACAAATTGAAATATATCCCATGTTCATGGGTAAGAATTAACATTGTTAAAATGTCCATACAACCCTAAACCATTTATAGAGTCAATGCAATCCCTATCAAAATTCCAAATGGCATTTTTCACAGAAATAGAAAAAAAAATCTTAAAATTCATTTGGAACCACAAATCTCAAATACCCAAAACAATCCTGAGAAACAAGAACAAAGCTAGAGGCATCACACTTCCTGATTTCAAACTATACTATAAAGCTACAGCATCAAAACAACATGGTACTAGCATAAAAACTGACCTATAGACCAATGGAACAGAATCAAGAGCCAAAAATAAACCCTAGCATATTATATAATCAACTCATATTTGACAAGGGAGCCAAGAATATTCAATGAGGAAAAGACGGTCATTTCAACAAATGGTGTTCAGAATTCACTTAAGAATGTTATATGTGAAAACTGGTGGAGGCTGGGGTGGGGGGTGGAGAAGAATAACAAATTTTATAAGCTCAGAAAACTTCATTTGTAAAATTGGTAGTAATTTTTCATAGTTACATTTTTTGAAATATGTTAATTTTGCCTTCCCTTTTTATTTTTTAATTGAAGTATAGTTGATTTACAATATTGTATTAGTTTTAGGTGTATAACAAAGTGATTCAGTTATATATACATTTTTCAGATTCTTTTCCATTATAGATTATCACAAGATATTGAATATAGTTCCCTCTGCTATACAGTAAATCCTTGTTGTTTATCTATTTTATTTATAATAGTGTGTATCTGTGAATTCCATACTCCTAATTTATGGTGTGTGTGTGTGTGTGTGTGTGTGTGTGTGTGTGTGTGTGTGTGTAATGGAATATTACTCAGCCATAAAAAAGAATGAAATATGGCCATTTGCAGCAACATGGATGGACCTATAGAGAATATTATACTAAGTGAAGTCAATCAGAGAAAGACAAATATATGGTATCACTTATATATGGAATCTAAAAATTAATACAAGCGAATTTATTTACAAAACATAAACAGACTCACAGACATAGAAAACAAACTTATGGTTACCAAAGGGGAAGGTTTGGGGGAGGAATAAGTTAGGAGTAGGGGATCTCCCCTTTCAAAACATTCTGGTTTCTATCTGTCCCTGGGGGAGAACAGTTTCGTTTTCCATTTGCAGGTTTACTTGCTAAGCCACAGGAAATGACCATCACAAATTCAACTGATTTGGTATTTGCTCTGAGTTCCTTTTCAAAGGCTGTTGTACTTTGCAGGGTGGTCTACTCACTTGATGGAATAGGTGTTTATGACAGTGACACCAAAAAAGTAACTATCAGAACTGCTAGTAAAGTGATGAGTTCTCACAACTCCTTCCTTGATAAATGCATTGACCTACAAGTTCCTGAACTGTTGCTCAAAGAAAACCTGGCTAGTTTATCAGTGGTCCACCAATGGCAAGGCCAACACTGGCCTGGCACTGGGCAGGTCAATAGGGCTTTGAGGGGATGGGATCCTTCCAAACCCTGCACCAGACACCCATCTTCAGATGCACTCACTCCCCTTTCACACATGTGGGGCTGGATTCAGAGACACTCAGCACCTGCCAAGAGAAAAGTCTTCTCCTTCCTCGACAGGAATTCCTGCAAGCGTGGATAGAACTACAATTGCTGTCTGCATCCATCGTTCATTTTGTCACGGTAACCTCCCATCACTCAGTCAGCAAGACACGTAGTGTAGGTTTACCGAAGCCTCTTTAACAGCACACATAGAAGAAGGGCAAACCCAGAATTCCTGACCAGAGACAGCCAAACAATCCACTTCCCGTGTAGACAGACGTCCCCCTTCCAAGCAGGAATGGCACGCATTGCTCTGTGATCAGAATATCTATCAGCTCCCAATCTACAGGGAAGCATTAGCACTTACAGCTGGGAGCTCTTTCCCAGACCAGAGATGGCCCTCAGTGTCCACTCCTGACCACACAGACACCAGAGAGAAAAAGATCTCTCTAGAATCTGAATGGCTTCCTTCAGCAGACAGCTGAAATTTTTTTAAATGTTTTCCATCAGTCTTAGCTCTCTGCTAAACAGGAATTCCCTGGGCCTTAGTTTTTCTCAGTATTTCTCAAATCTTGGAGTAGATGCATGAGTCCCAGCATAGACTCCCCTAGAGGGCTTTGGAAACTACTCGTGTACCCCACACCGAAGAATCTGATTACTGAGGGTGGTCTGGACTTTACACAATCTCCCCATAGGATTCTCATGTTCAGTTAGGGCTGAGGACCTGGGAGAGGGTCTGTCTCAGCCTCGGGCCCTCACTCATCTCTACCCTGTGCAGAAATCACCTGGGCACCTCATCAAGGCAGATGTGATGCAGCTGGTCCAGGGTGGGGTCTGACACTGCAGTTCCAGTGGCTCCCAGGTGGAAGCCCTACTGGTCTACCTGGACCCCACTTGGAGGAGCAGAACCCTTCCAATGGTTTAGCTTCTAATTTTGCTTAATTCCCTGAGACAGACACTTAGAGAACTCATTCTAGCATCAAGGTAAAGCACTTTCCTTCCCATCAGAGCAGCAGGAACAGGTTATATGGGAGACCTCCACGGACAAGCACAAGACTCAATACTGCCTGACTGTTTCACATGAGAAGGGTACTTACCAAATAATTTAGCCAAACCTTTGTCCAAATTGTTTGAACTTGATGAAAATTCAGTATTTGAACCTGTAGGGAAAAGAAACCTTAGCTGTCAGTCAGTCTTTCACTGGATCTGCGTGTAATCCTCTTTAAATCCACACACTCAGGTGTAGTATTTTGAGAGGACCATCATGCAGTTGGCCTGCTCCAGGGGAGAGCGCTGAGCTTGGGGTCTGGTACATTTGAACACTGCGTGATCCTGGGCAGTAATGCTTTGTGGGGTTTGGTTTTCTCATTTGAGGCTGGAGGGAAAGATGCCCAACCACTGGAGATCTGTGAGGAGAAGGGTTAAGTTCAATGATGCGACCTGCAGACTGAAAGCACTCTCCCCTCTTCCGGGCTCAGTGCTACTGTCTGTGATGAACGGCAATAATGGTGCTGGTTCCAAGCAAGGTCACGCTCAGAGCTCAGCTGTGGGAGGAACAGAGACAGATGAACACACATCTCAGGGTCCTTTGAACAAATACTCTCCCCTCCACAGGCAATGAGGCCAACGAGCAGTGACCAACCATTCTGCAAACGTGATGCTCTCTTGTGTTGGAGGACAGGGAACAATACTACTGCATCTCTGCCCTAATCCATACTATGGATCTATATTTGGGAGGGGCTCAGGGGCCTGAGGTCACCCTGACTTGACCTCTTGTATAAGCACATGGAGTTCCTGATGTTGTCACTGAGGAATGAGAAAATGAAGATGCAAACAGAGATGGACCAGATCAGCAATCTTCCCTAGGATGTTGTGGATGGACATTAAGACTTCTGCTGCTGACCCTCACCTGGCCACATCAAGGATGTGAATTAATTGTGCTAAAAGACTAGCAACCTGTGAGGATTTTGAGCTATATTATTGTGCTTTTCTATTTTGAGGTCATGATACTGTGATCAGACACATTTTCCTGATTCAAGGTCAGGGCCAGCCCTTTTCTCTGGCCAGTGAGGAGTGGACAAACCCACTAATAAAGGAGTTTTAGGCCACAGCTCTCATCTATTCTGAGTGCCACAGAGCATTCATGAAGTGTCTTCAAGAATCTGAACATTTAACTCAAAGCCAGTGGCAACGCTGGTTTCCTCCCAGTCTGCATGACCATTGAGTAATTTGTAAACACAGCAGCTTTCAACTCTTCAAGAAAAATTGCTAATTAGGTGGGTAATGGTGCATGGATATTACTTCATGGTATGATAGCTTTTTGGTAAATGAAAGGAACAAAAAGTTCTCTCTTGCTGAGATATTAGTGAATTATTAAGAATCAAGACAGTGGAAGTAAGCCCATGCAGTAAAATATTTGTTCCCTAAAACCCTTTGGTTTTTAAAGTGCCCTGACAAGAGAAGTTACTGTTGCCCCTTTTCTTGATGTCATCCCTGACAGTTTGCATAATGTACCTACTGTTCTTCACGACAGATGACACTGTTTTGTGATACTGCTCTGCTTAATTTTTGGAAAACAATGCTGTAACTTCCTCCATCACAAGGATTATGTCTACTGTTTTTCTTTTACCCACAGACACAATATCTTTATATTGAGAGAATGTCCCAGAATATAGTCAACCAATTAGTTTAGTAAATAGCAAAAGTGCTTCCAAATGCCATAAGACCCTAAAAGTAGAGCATAAATCTGATGTTCACTTTGAAAAAGCTATGATCACAAGATGTCCATAACAGCATTATTCACATACCCAAAAGGTGGAAACCACCCACATGTCCTCAACCAATAAATGGATTAACAAAATACAGTAAATACAATGGAATATTATTCAGCCAGAAAAAGGAATGAAGTCTTGAGGCATACTATTACATGAATGAACCCTGAAAACATATTAAGAAATCAGTTACAAATGACCACACAGGGTATGATTCTATATATGAAATATCCAGAATTGATAAAGCAGACAGTAGATTAGTGGTTGCCAGGGGCTGTGGGAAAGGGGGGATGAGGAACATGTGTTACTTTTTGGGGTGACGAAAATGTTCTAAAATTAGATAGTGGTAGTTCACAACCCTGTGAATAGACTAAAAGCCACTGAATTATACATTTTAAAGGGTGAATTTCATGTTATGTGAATAATACATCAAGCTGTTATTTACAATACAGTGAGGGGATAGATTACAAACGAGATTGGCCTGATTACCACACAGAGGTTCATCATATTCTCTCCTTTTGTATACATTTGACACTTTTTATAATGAAAAGTTAAAATGTGCAAGGTATGCTGCCCTCCCATGGAGCTCTGAATTTTAAGAAAGGTTCAAAATTGGGGGAAATGTTACAATTACTGCCTTCTCCTGAGCAAGAAACCCCTGCGGAAGATCCAGGGAAGTACGACAGGTATGAAGGGGAGAAACCCTGCACTCACTCGGGCACCCGAGGGAGGAGAACACCGGCTCCAGCCTGATTCAGGCTCATGGCGAGCCTCCCACGTCGCTAGCGGCCACAATACACCTGTGACGGTACCTTGGCTGAGGTGGAAAGGGTGGAGACCTGCACTTTGCCAATAATCCAGGAAGAGAACAAAGAAGAGGGTCTCCGCTCCTCTCTTCTTTGCCATATAGTCTGTGTACCAGAAGAGAGAAGCAAAGCTCCTAAATTCCTTCAGACGTGACAGTCTTGAGCTCCAGGACACTTCGGAATCGCCGGTCTGTGACGTCACACCGGAAGCGGAAGCGAGGCGTCCGGGGGCGGGGCCTGTGGTCAGGGAGGGGCGGGGCAGCTGGCCACCCTGAGGTAACAGCCTGTCTGCTCACTTCCTCTGGCGCTGCAGCGCCTTCCTCCACCACGCATGCCCTGCGCACTGAAGGCGGTAGGCTATCAGCCAGAACTCTCAAGTTGTGAGTCCCAGAAACTCAACTAAATCAGCTTAAATGAATTGCAAGTAGCTAGAGTAGCCAGAAAAATTTTATGGTAAATCAAGATATCCCCTTACAAAGATATTGTTATTTATTGTGTAACATAAAATTATAACACCAAAAATGTTGTAAAGAAAAACATAAGTTGATGTTGTCATTCATGTATCAGAATTTCCCTATTGTTACCGAATGCAAGTCCGTGTGCCCGCTGCATGGTGAGGCCAAACTGAAATGTCGGAGTTTGCAGCAGAGGAAGGTTTATTGCAGGGCGGAGCAAGGAAGATGGGGTGGCTCATGCCCAAGAAAACCCTGAACTCCTCAAAGGATTTCAGCAAAGCTTACTTAAGGACCAGGTGAGGGGTAGGGGAGGTCACAGGGTTCGTGTTCTATTCATGCACAATTCTCTAATTGTTTGAGGAAACAGGGCGGTCAACACCATCAACCCCTAGGTGCCAGAAGGTCTGGGGGCTATGGGCTCTCAATCATCAAGCAGTTAATTTCTTCCCTTTGGTGGTGGTTTTTGGCATCTGAAAAACTCAGGAAATAAACATGAGATACTATTATGTGTGTACTTCAGAGAGGAACTACAGCAGAGGATATAGGGGAGAGGTCTGACCCTGGGAGGTCCCACAGGGTCCTCCGTGGTTACACTGTTACATTTAATAAGTATTAAACTATTGTCGAAGAAAAAAGTTCTTTATATTTTAGCACCTTTAACTATACTTTTTACTGCTGCATTTTCATTATGCATTGAGTCCCACAAGTTATGTAGCCAGCCCTGCTTCATATGCGGTGGTGGGATGGAAGAGATCTGCATGGGGAAAAAATTTATATAGTGGAATCCTAAGTAGCTCAGAGGTACTGGATTGCTGGGGTTGCCATAACAAAGCACCACAAAATGGTTGGCTTAAACAACAGAAATCTATTATCTTACAGTTCTGAAAACTAGAAGTCTGAGATGGGAGTTGGTTCTTTCTGAGGTCTCTCTCCCCAGCTTGTAGGTGGCTGTCTTCTCCCTGTACCTTCACACATCTTCCCTCCATAGGCATCTGTGTCGAAACTTCCTCTTCTTATAAGGACATCAGTCATACTGGATTACAGCCTACCCTAATGGACCTCATTTTAACTTGATTACCTCTATAAAGACACTAAAAAAAAAAATCCCATAATCTGAGGTACTGGGGGTTAGGATATCAACATATAAATTTGGAAGGGTACACAGTTCAACCCATAACATTAGGTAATCGCAGCAGTGGAAATTTTATTTCTCTAAAATATCTTCAAACAAACAAAAGCAGAACAAAGAAAACATATAAAATAACACGGAACTCACTGCTTCAGCATAGCCAGTAGACAGAAAATGTCTTCAAATTACTAGTAAATATAAAAATCAGCCCTCACCCCAGTCACTGACTCACCTGCTTCTGCCACTTGCCCTGGCAGAGAGGAAACACAATGGCCCAAAGTGGCCTAAAATCTCCTGTAAAAAGAGAAAACTCACCCTAAGGTACAAATGTTACAAATGTGTCCTGGGAGAGCAGAACAAATACCCAGAGGTGGAAAAGAGCTGGACAAGAGATTGGGGAGGCTTCAGTCAAGACCCTGGAAGAGGCAGAACATGGGCTGGGCGTGGAGTGGAAATGGAGTCCTTGGGGTGCCCGTTACCAAGGAGATTTCACACAAAGCTGAGGGTTAATAAAACCAAAGCAATGACAGATAAGTTAGCTTCAAACTCGAGATGTACAACTATCCATCTTCGAATCCCCACTGCCCACTCCTGCCACTTTCCCCTGTCTCGACAACAAATGTTGAGGATGTGAAGCAACTAGAACTCTCATTTATTGCTGGTGGGAATGCAACATGGCACGGCCACTTTGAAGCAAAGTTTAGCAGTTTTTTTACAAAGCTGAATATAGGTTTACCATCCAGCAATCATACTCCAAGTTACTTACCCAAATGAGTTGAAATTGGATGCCCACACAAAAAGCTGCACATAGTTGTTTACAGCAGCTTTATTCATAATTGCCAAAAATTAAAAACAATTGAGATGTCCTTCATTAGGTGAATGGATAAACAAAGTGTGGTACATCCAGACAATAGGATATGATTCATCAACAAGAAGAAATGAGCTATCAAGTCACAAAAAGACATGGAGGAAACTTAAATGCATAATACTAAGTGAGAGAAGCCAATCTGAAAAGGCTACATACTGTGTGATTCCAACTGTATGGCATTCTGTAGAAGGCAAACCCATAGAGACAGTAAAAAGATCAGTAGTTGCCAGAGATTCAGGAATGAATAGAGGAAACACAGGGGACCTTTTAAAATTGAAGTATACTCAGTGTACAATGTTGTGTCAATTTCTGGTGTACAACATAATGTTTCAGTCATATATATACAGACATATATTCCTTTTCAAATTCTTTTTCATCATAGGTTACTACAAAATATTGGCTATAGTTTCCTGTGCTGTACAGTATAAACTTGTTGTTTATCTATTTTATATGTAGTAGTTAGTATCTACAAATCTCGAACTCCCAATTTATCCTTTCCCACCCCCTTTCC